GAACCCGGGCCGCATGCATGCCAGGCGAGCGCGCCAGCACATGAGCCACATCCCCAGCCCGTATATGTGGTGCTGAGAATCAAACCCAGTGCCTCACAGAACCAAGTGCTCTGCCGCTAATCCTGGAATTACAGGGCCTACCCCCTGTAAAAGAAATTTTTCTGTCGAATAGTCCTCATTCTTCTTTGGGCTTTGAATACTTTTTCTAGTAATAATGCCTGTAGACTCCAGTTCTGTGGAAATTTAGTTAATGGAGTAATGCATTTTAAGGGAATGTTTTGCTTAGATTGAGGCAGGCAGTTATGTCAGTGTCCAGTGTATCTTGCAGGCTATGAGCAGGGCAGGAAACAGTACATGTTACACTAATAGTCACTTTTAGTCACTGTAGAACCTCTGAACTTTATATAGTAACTTAAATTTTACCCTTTCAGGAACAGATACAAATAATACCTGGGGGAGAACTAGGCACAAAATTGAAACTATTTATTGGATGAATGAATGAATTCTATGTTAGTGTTCGAAGAGGGGGGATATTATTGGTTCATTCTTACCATTTCAAAAATTTGACACATAGTGAGTGCCCTGATGGGGCTAATTCATAAGCCTATCCTTGGTGAAATAATTTTATGTCTAGATACGTGTGAAACAAAGGGATAAGCATCTCTACCATATTTTGTATACCTGTAGTATTCTCAGAAGTGTAGAAAACTAAAGAATGCTTTGAAAGAGAAAAAAGTGAAAACAGCAGAATGCATGCATGTTAATATAATATAGATAAATCTTACTTTCATTATTTTTTTTTGGAGTAAATCTGTTGAAGTAAAATTACAATAAAATGAATCCATTTTAATTTCTATGAGTTTTGATTTATACATATGCCTGTGTGACCAACAGTATGCTAGAAAAATGTAGAAAATATTTCTTCCATTGTGATGCTTGGTTTGGGTCATGAAGTTTCTTACTTAATAGGTAAAAATGCTTTGGATCTTCTGTAAATTAAGCACAGTATTTTTAAAAATGCTATTTAAATGATTTTAGTGCTAAAAATTAAATCTGCATCTCTCTTTCTTGAACTCCACATGCAATTTTTCAGCAAATCCTATTGGTGATCTTCAGTATGTTTAGAATCCAACAGTTTGATAAACCACTTTCACCACTACCACCTGTTTCAAACTGCCATCATCTTGTGTGGATTATTACAATAGTCTCATGCTTCCATTCTGTTCTTTTCCAGTCTTACTTAATACAGTGGCCATTGATACTGTTAAAACGTCAGTCAAGTTAAAAAATCTTTCAGATGTTTTCCATCTTATTGAAAGTAACAGTCAAAACCTTTACAATGTACTACAAAATCCTGCACTCTGAACTCCCTCCCCAAATAATAGTATTTTCAGCTTGCTTCAGCTACCCCAGAGATAATGTTGACCTTGCTGTCTCCCTTGAACACACCCCAAAGTTGAACACACTCTGCCTACTTCAGGCATGTGTTTGCTGTTTCCTTTGCTTGAAAGATGTTTCCCCCAGATATGAAAAGGACTTCCTGTTTCAGCCTTTTTCAAATCTTTATTTAGCTCTTCATTTTCTTTGTGAGGTATATAAGCAGATTTGAAATAAATCACTCCCTTGCTGTCTTCCCAGCTTTGGTTTCTTACAAAATGCCTTTCAGTGTTCAATATATCTGTAGCATGAGTAATTATAATTTATATTTTATTTGTTATCTGTAAGAGCTGATAGGTTTACTATGATTATAAAAGTTTATTTTCACATGGCAAAACAAAATTTTATGTTGAATTATGTAATCTTATGCATTTTAATGTTTAAATTTTAATATTTTTTAAAGATCACAGGAAATGTTTTCTGATTTTTCAAGGAAAAATTGAATATTTACAATAATTAACCATTAGCTGTGGCTGGGGATGTGGCTCAAGCGGTAGCGCGCTCGCCTGGCGTGCGTGCGGCCCGGGTTCGATCCTCAGCACCACATACCAACAAAGATGTTGTGTCTGCCGAGAACTAAAAAATAAATATTAAAAAAAAAACTCTCTCTCTCTCNTTCCCCCCCCCCCCCTCTCTAAAAAAAAAAAAAAAAAACCATTAGCTGTGTTATTTTTCATCTGTTTTAAACTAAAATAAAGGGCTGGGGCTTCAGCTCAGTGGTAAAGAGCCCCCCTGGGTTCAATCCCCAATACCCCTCCAACAAAAACAAAAACCTCGAAATGAATGCAAGGGGTATACTAGCATACACTAACAGAAAAGATTATAAATATGGCATAAATTCTAATAATATAGTTTTATTAATAAAATATCTAATACTGGGGGGAGTGAAAAGTGGTTCTAAAAACTGAATCAAAGTCCATCTTTGATCATTGTGAGGCTAGCACTGGGCCATTGCTAGCATAGTACCTGGCTCATGGTAACTGCTTAATAAATGTCTATTGAGGCCCTCAGACTTTGTTTACTGATACATTCATTAATCAATTTATTTATTCAACAGGTACTATACCAACTGCCCTCCTAAGAAAGTGCTGAGATAGAGTATTATAATGATAATACAAGAGCTTCTGTAAGTAGGACAGTAGCCTTCTCTGTTTTAAAAGAAGATACACCCCCTTTCCACCCTTCTGTATAGAATATTTGTTTTTGATTTGGGGCAGAAACTGTTACCAAAAAAAATTATAAGAAACTCAATACATTTATAGTCTAAAAATCTTGTGGTTTTTCCTTTGTGATACATCCTGATACCTACCTAAATTTTAACGCATTTCTAGTACCTTATTTGATAAGTATATGAATCATCCTAGGAATTCCTTTACTTATAAAACTTTCTAAATATTTTAAGTATATTGTTTTTTGAAGTTGAAGTTTAAATTGTATAGACTATTGATTGTGTACATCAAGTAAATAAACAGGTAAAAAGATACTCAACCTCGTTAATGAAATAAAAGTTTTTTTTTAACCTATCAGATAATTAGAATTTAAAACCTCTTTATTCCAACAATGGTGAGGATATGAGAAAAGGGCATAAAATTTACATACTATTTTTGGGGACTGATTTAGAGGTAAAATTTGGATGTATACAATAATAATCTGGATTATGGAATTATTTAGAGATGTATAGGATTATATGTCAAAATCTAAAGCATTATTTGAAAGATAAAAAAGTAGCATGAACCATTAATGTTGGTTGTTTAATTATTGTATATCTGTATTAATAATTTACTACATTATAAAAACTGAAATAGAAATTTATAAGTGGATATGAAGAGATGTCAATGAAAATAGGAGAAAATGCAGGTAATAATGTAGTTATACTGGAGAAAATTACAAATTATGTATTACTTTGTACATATAAAGATATGTAGAAAACCATGAGATATGCCTAACTGTGGGATTAGGGAAAGAAAAAGTGAGGGATTAGGGAAAGAGAAAGTGGAAGAGTTACACTTTTTTCCTTAATTTTTTTTTTAGTTGTTGATAGACTTTTATTTAATTATTTTTTTTATGTGCGGTACTGAGAACCTAACACAGTGCCAGGCATGCTAGGCAAGTAGTCTACTGTGAGCCACAACCCCAGCCCCCAAGAGTTACACTTTTTATTTTTCTTTCTTCTGAAGGGTGAGTAAAACAATTACAAAACACAAGACATTTTAAAAGTTTAAATAGCTCTGGACATTTTTTTTTTTTTTTGGTGGTGCTGGGGATTGAACCCAGGGCCTTATGCATGTGAGGCAAGCCCTCTACTGAGTTAATATCCCCAGCTTTGCGGACTTCTTTATTTATAGAGTGAGGAAATTTTCCCTAGTGTCTAGTAGAAATATCTCCTGTTTATCAAGTCACTGACTTTATTGGAGTCACTGATGTGGCATAGACTTACTTATTTGAGCTCTCTCATTCTCATGCTGGGAATCTAACCTAAAATCTTGAGCAAGATAGGAAACACTCTTATCACTGATCTATGTCCCCCAGCCCCTTGGCTGATTTTAAAAATTGATGTATGGAACTCTCATAGGACATCCTAGCAACATTTTAAATTTTTTCTCCAATAGAACTGGGTGCTAAAATATGTTGATGAAAATAAAAACTTAAGGAAGGAAAAACTTAAGTACTTCCATTCATTTAAAATAAAGGATAGCTGGGCACCTATAATACCAGCAGTTTGGGAGGCTGAGGCGTGAGTAATGCAAGTTCCTGAAACCCTGTCTCAAAAAGGACTGGGGTTGTAGCTCTGGTAAAGTGCCCCGGGCTTCAATCCTCAGTCCCATATGGGAAGGGAAAAAAAGTTTCCTTTAATATGGCAGACTAAACAATTTAATGTGCTTTTATAATTTTAAAAATCAAATGATACTATCTGATTCAAGAGTGGTTAAAAAAAGAATAGTTAATTGGTTGCTTTTAAGTTTAAGAAAAAGGATGGCATTTCTCATTGTCAATAGTTCCTTTTCACATTTGAGTGATTACTGTATGATCTGGTATCAAGAGTTGGTGTGTGTCCGTGCCCCACCAGGTTTGTAATCCACTGACATATTTGTCCTTGAGGAACTGGCCAACATTGAATGAAATGCTGTGTAACTTTGTAAATTTAGTTTTCAGGGTGCTGATAGATATTAAATAAAAAAAGTATCAAAGCACTTTATAAAACACTATTAGATACCCTCCTGGATTCTGAGTTTGGTTTTAAAAGATTCATTGATGTTTGGTATTTAATTTTTGGATATTAACTGAACCTCAAAATTTTTTTCTTCCTTTATATGTATTCCCACATGATTGTAGGAGTCTATCCTGAACTTAGATCGTGTACATTTTGGGAACTTATTTTAGAAAAGATCTAAGTTTTAAAAATTCTCAATGGACAGACAGAGAAAAGAGGGTCTTTGCCAACTCCTTTGGGTAAGAAAACTTTAGAATTTTGCAGATACTCTAAAAATGAAGGCCAACAAAACTAGGCAGATTCAATTATAAAGTTTTCAAGTAAAATGATTTGTTATGATTTCTTTCTTTAGACTGCTGCAGTAAGAATGTCTTTCCCCCCTCATTTGAATCGCCCTCCTATGGGAATCCCAGCACTCCCACCGGGTATCCCACCCCCACAGTTTCCTGGCTTTCCTCCACCTGTGCCTCCAGGTAAGTTTGTTAAACTTTAGGTTTTTTTAAACCTATGCTTTTGTCATTATGATATTAACTTTAGGAAAATGATATGTATGTGATTACTTCAGCAGTGAAGATATCTTTTAGCATCATTCTGAAAATGGGTTTTTCATTTTCCTAAGGCAGTGGATTTGATATGTGACTGTCAGACTCACCTTGGAAATTCCTTTTAAAATTCTATATTTAAAATACATAGGGCCAGGTGTGGTGGTGCATGCCTTTAGTCCCAGTGACATGGGAGACTGGGGCAGGAAGATCACAAGTTCAAAGCCAGCCTCAACAACTTAGTGACCCTCTAAGAAATTCAGCTAGACCCTGTTTCAAAATAAAAATAAATAGGCTAGAGATGGGGCTCAGTGATTAAGCCCCTTTGGGTTCCATCCCTAGTACCAAATGGTATTCCCTTTCTGAAACAGGGAAAAAAGCAGTGTTATTAATCTTAATTTTGCAGGTACTTAAACATGCATATTAGAAGCAAATACCAGTACATGTTTATCTCTTAGTTCTAAGTTTGGTTTGTTTTTAAGCACAGATACATAGTAGCATGCTATATCCACTAGTTTGCACCTTGCTTTTTTTCACTTGATAGTGTACCATAGCTTTCTAAATCAATGTATGAACAGCTTCCTTCAAGAGTTCTGTGGAGTTAAAGCAATATTCAGGCCTTACCACAAATCCCTGAATCAGTTCCTCAGAAATTGGGGCTCTGGAATCTTTATTTTTAACAAGTTTGCAGCTATTTCTAGGTATCAAATTAAGTAGATGGAACCCATATTTGAGAACAGTTATTCTGAAGTAGATAACATTATTTGACTTAAGGGAATGAGAGTTCCTTTGCTTCTACCATGTTTACTTTAGATCTTCAATATTATTGCCAGCTTGGTTGATTTTAAACTAATGTGGACATTTATTCAGAATGGTAATTCTGTACTTTCTGATTTCATTTGTACTAGTCTAATCATTTTTGTTTAGCAAAAGCATACTTTACTTGACTGATAAATCAGAATTTAGTTGTAGCTCAGGCACTACCAGCATTCTATGTGCAATATCAGTATTTTAAAAGGTAAGTCATGAAAAAAACAAAGGTAGGTAGTGGACTGGGGACATGACTCAGTGGTAGAATGCTTGCCTTGCATGCTCAAGGTCCTGTGTTTGTTCCCTAGCACTGGAAGGGGTGTGCAAGGTAAGTAATGAAATATTATAAAAACTACTGTAATAATTGAGAAACACAGTACCCTTGATGCATAATTTTTGTGTTTGGCTTATGAGTATTGTTAATAACTCAGTGCAGTTAATTGGACTTTGATATAATATATGATGATTCTGAGTTTTAAAAAAATTTTTTGTTTTAGATGGATAAAATACTTCTAGTTTATGTGGTGTTGCTGAGGATCGAACCCAATGCCTCACATGCTAGTCAAGTGCTCTGCCACTGTGCTACAACCCCAGGCCCAGTGATCATGAATTTTAAATGAGAAAATAAGTCTGGTAACTAGTTGTTGTTTTTCTTTAGAAAGTAAGACATGCCTACAGAAAAAGTTCCTTCCCCCAAATCAATCTTGTCAGTTTTCTAGGGTATTATTTCTCCAGAGATATGCTGTGCATTTCCTACTATTTGCTTGCATTTACTCTTCCTATTTCCTTTTTAAAAAAATCAAATGTTAATATGCTATTCACATTTTGTGTACTTTATTTTTGCTTAGCATGCATGATCATTATGAAGACCAGCAGTGCTTTTTCAATGAAAAATTTGAAATGTACTTTGCTTATGTTTGCTTTGGCATGCATGATTTTTATAAACAGCAGCAATGCCTTATTTATTGTGAATACTAATTGCAGAAATTCTAATGGCAGTATTAGAGCACATGCTTAGTATGCACAAGACCTGAGTTGTAACCCTAGCACCAAAAAGGAGGAAAAGAAAAAGATAAATTTCAGGTATTAGTAAGTTGGATTAGAAAGCATTATTAGACTTTGAGTAAATATAAATAGGGAAATTTAGAGATGTCTTTCTGAATGCTTTTCTTAATAGACGGTTTACCTATGGAATTGAGGCCATATGGGGGTACCATTATAGTTGGTAAATAGAGGAGTATTTATTTTTGGAAAGTTAAGGTGTAAAATTCAGATGATAACTGGTTAATTACAGGTGTTTTTGGTACTGGGGATTGAACCCAGGGGTGCTTTACCACTGAGCTATATTCCCATCCCCTTTTTATTTTTATTTATTATTATTTTTACGTTTATTTTTCGATTGTAGTTGGACACAGTACCTTGATTTTATTGTTTATGTGGTGCTGAGGATTGAACCCAGGGCCTCGCACATGCTAGGCGAGCACTCTACCACTGAGCCACAACCCAACCCCCCCTTTTTATTTTTTATTTTGAGACAGGGTCATGCTGGGTTACTTAGGGCCTCTGACTAAATTGCTTGGGCTGACCTTAAACATGTGATCCTCTGCCTCACCCTCCTGAGCTGCTGGGTTTAAACGCATGTGCCACCAGGATGGTTAATTAATTATATTTTTACATACCCACAGTTATTTAAAAATACTTTTACTTTTTTTTGTTGTTGTTGTTGTGTTGGGGGGCAGTAATGGGAATTGAACCCAGGGCTTGACATATGATAGCAATGCCCTGAGCCACTTGTCAAAAGAAAAGAACTTTATTTTAACCACATAGGCCAAACAAAACAGCTCCTCAGGAAAAACCCTCAGAGCCCAAATGCCACCACCAGCTTCCCACAAGTCTCTCACACCAACACAAGCCTCACCACCTCCCACAGTCCTCCTGCTCTTGAGGCCGATTGGCTGGGTCG